AAGAGAGGACAAAATTACGCGTTGTATGACTGCCATAAATAAGCATATGGCACTGTGTGCAGCGTGGCGGTAAGATTAAACGACGTGCCTCCTCTGCTCATCTAACCATGGTAATGGGCAATGACGATACAGTCGGTTTAAAAATAAAGCTGTTGTGCAAATGCAATCTAACCACACAATCAGACGGCAGTATATATAAACCTATACGAAAGCACAAAACTTCCAACTGTAAGAAGCTGAGAGTTCAGGGTCACTAATACTCCTTCGAGTTTAATCGAGATTGGTCACTAGACAGAGGGTCAGATTCAGAGTAGCTGAGCTGAGTCATAGGTGAAATTCACACCGATACAACTCACCTTGCATCGTTCTGAACAATAAAAACAAATATTACCATTTTGGAAGCATGAGACCGCAAGTTGTAATGGACGCCCACCTCCACATTGCTATAAAAATACAAAAATTCTGGCTGAAAGCATGGTGGCGGATATCAGCGCCGCTGGGCTCTATAAAAAACGGCGAAGTGCATCGAAGATACATATTCCAGTGGAAGCAAATTTTTGATTTCTTTTTTCCAGCTGCAACACTAGTTAGTCATTAACAATGAGATATGAACTGCGGCTGTCGCATTGCACACTCGCAGATCAGATCCATCAATAATCCTTAGACACGCATCAGCATTTGTTAGCGCAGAAACGATTGACCAGCTACCAGTTTCGGCGTGGCTGACGGGTCACAAGATCATAGATTATAGGCAGCATTGGATCAGCGTTTCTGTCGGGCTTTGTTAGTATCTACTAAGATAACTCTCCCTGTTCAAAAAATGAATTGATTTTACGAAGTAAATTCATAGGTCAATATAAACTTTTACCACAATAAATGATTGCCTCCTAGAAAAATAATTAAATAAGCATCATTCCCCCTCAACAAACTACAAGAATTATCATATTATAATTGATATGCTCTCGCAAAGGGTCTGTAGTATCACATTTTCTATCTTTAGTTTACGCAGATGAAACACTCGGCATAAAGACTACTAAATCAGTGCGGAAACAGAAATATGTCAGTAAACTTATTGTTTTGCTTCCGTTACACCTAATACTCCAAATTTACACCGCGTAGTCGTACCGCCTCTTTGCTTCTAGCAGAATATGGGTCAGTTTAAGCAGGCCACGGCTCCATGGCATTTAAGCACCTGGAACGCATGGATACAAAACTGCAACACCGTGCAGGGCGACCGAGGCTACTATAAGCCAGAGAATTGAAAGGACATCGTCATGCTTAGCGGAAATATCGAAAACTACCTATTTGCTATTAAACACATAATCCTCGGTCTATTATCATGCACTTTATTTTCTGCTCGTCTAAGATAGTTAATAACCTCGAGAAAGAAAATACGGTAATACATATGTATTATATTACTGTTATGATGATGGCGCCAACGTGTTAAGTATGTATACTTGAAATTCTGATCTGTTAGTGTTTGATAAACCGATAAGGATGACCGTTTCACTTATACTTTCAAGCAGAAAACAATAAAAGACAAAGCCGAGGTACGAGAATGAGAAAATCTGTGACACGTAGTAAAAATTTACTTTGAAAAGTCGAACTCTTTCTTCCGCCTCTCTTTGACACTTGATGGCATGTTCAACAGACGGACTTAAAGGTGCTGCAAATAAGGTTTTTGCTTGAAGAGAAACAAGAAACAGTAATAAAACATTTGGCCAAAAAACATTACAAAGAAGTCAATCAGAACTTTCATTAACAATTTCACGATTAAAAATATAACAAAAAATAGAACAAAAATTTTCTGGAATCAGCCTGAAACAGGAAATGTGTAGCTTGCACATTCAAAAGAGTCAGCATCCATATCGCCGCGTTTTATGCGAAAATTCGTCCAGACTCCTGATTAAAGTGAACTCGTTGATAATCCAATACATTGAGCAGTCAATAATTTCCGTCCAACGAAGTGCTAACGGTGAGAAGCCCCATAAGAGAGGGGGGCCTCCAAACACCAACAGGCAATCAATGTCTGAGAGAGTACTACCTGATGTTGAGTTCATCAAGAGATCGAGGCTGAGGTCATCGGGGTCCATCCTGCCTGCAACAACGTCGTCGCTCAACTCTCTGAATCTCTGGATTAAAGCAGTTCTACCACTGAACCGATATAAGATGTTGAGGCTTCGTCCACAGTCGTCAGAGTTCGTCGAGATGCTACAAGGAACTCCGTTCAAATACACAGACAGCTCTTTGCCGCCAGAGTACTGTTGTTGAACAGATTTCAGTAAGTGATCTACAATATATGCGGGACAATCCACAGAAAAGCACACAGTCACAGTTTGGATCCCGCATTTCATTGCAAGCACAACCATTTTGGCTAAAATTTTAGTCGATGGTCTATGGTCATCGGCCGAAAATGCCAGGTGCCGTGGAAGCTTGGAACGGGGCCAAGGCTGAGGTAAAACACTTTGGCTGATAACCATTACCAGTGATGTGACAAGGTGCCAAACAGAAGCTGCCACGTATAAATAAATACTAAATACCATAGCTATCATTCCGACAAGGACGTTTTCTTTCTGGGCCATCCTGAAATTTTTGATTATAAAGTTCCACAAAGATACAGTAAAAAATAGAGTATCAAAGATTATATAACGTGAGTCGAAGGGCTAGCAGGCGATGAGCCCAAATCGAAGGAAGCCAATGAGCCTAACTGACTGAATAGTTGACACGAATGAGGGGTAAAAAATACAAAGATCTTGCATTTCTGGAACAGCCGAAAAGGAATCAAATCGTGAGTGAAAATGAGAATGCCAGGAACGGAAAATCAAGGCATGCTACATGTCGCTTTTCGATGATTTTCTTAGAGTAACTTTCTGAGACTCCAAATATATCAACTATTTCGAGAAAACCGTGACCATCGAGTCACGGACGAAATTTTTACACAGTATTAAACAGGATGCTTCCTACAACTGGTAGAAACTGTTTGGTGGAAAGTACAAACTAAGCTTGTTTCATCCATGTGGGGATAACACAGAGCTTATTCTCAAAGTATGCCAGAAAAAAATTCTTGTTTTTCTACACTGGAACGAAACATTATTAGAAGACTGAACTTGGAAAAACAAGTAACTGAATGTGTGTGTGTGTGTGTGTGTGTGTGTGTGTGTGTGTGTGTGTGTGTGGAATGATAAAGTCTGTACAAAAATACCATCGTGGTAACATACTTTTTTCCATTACCTCTGACAAAATTCCAGTCCAATTGTTCAAATAATGGAAACAGTATTTTCCCATCGATAACGCGCACCTTGTACTTCTTTATGCTCGCTAAAATGTATAGATAACGTGCATCTAGTAGATACCGGGCACCCTATAATATTTAATCCTCATGAAAATGTATACATAGCGTGCAATCTATTTATTGTCTGAAAACGCAGTTTTCAGACCAATGAATAACGGAATAACATGATTGGCTGTGGCTTTATCTAAAACAAACGAATAGAAGAATTAACAAAGGTTACCATATTGTTTCTGGTCTTTGAAAGTGTACTCTTAAAACCGAAAGTTACTCCTGAGAAAATTACTTATGGAGAAAAAATACTGTTCGGGGGAAAATCTTATACAGCGACGTTCAAGTTGGAGGCCGTTAATTTCGCGAAAGAAAAAGAGAATCGTGAAGAAGCGAAGAAAACTAGCGCTGGAGAGTCCAGTGTAGGGGAATGGAGAAAAGAAGAAGCAGTCCTAAAATGTTTAGATAAGAAGGAACGTGCAACGAGGTACAAGAGATGCTTCTGGCTAGAGCTCGAAAAAACAATTCTTGAGTGGGTTCTTTCTGCGAGATCGAAAGGGCATAAAGAGTCAACAACCAATATTTTGTTGAGGGCAAAAGTGGTTGCAGAAGAGGAAAAGATAGAAAACTTTAATGCTTACTCATCATGGACTTTTAAATTTATGAAACGGAACAATTTATATGTTCCTTCATCCTCAAGTGTTGGCCAAAAACTGCCCGATGGCAGAGAAATGAAAGTAGAGAAATTTAGACTTTTCGTTAAAGAAAGTTTGTGGTGTGGATCGTGCACATTTTGGCAATATGGACGAAATGCTCTTTAGCCTTGATGTGCTTGTTTCAAACACTGTTAATTTAAAATGATCGAAAGAAGTTTCCGTAGCCACAGCCGGATATGAGAAGTCGAATTTTACTGCGGTGTTAAGTGTGACTTCTAATGGTAGGAATCTTCCTCCCTTGGATATATTTAAGAGAAAAACAATGCCTAAAGGTAACTTATTAAATGAAATTGTGACTGCTGCGAATGAGAAAGGATGGGTCACTTAAGGCAACTGAAAGCATGAGTTGTGAACCGAAAATGTTTGCAGAAAATTTAAGCAAGCCTTTTCAATCTAAATTCCTTATTAACAAAGGACTTTTGCCGTGTGCAAATTACTGATGATGAGAAAGGGTTAGCAGGCAAGTGTTCAAAATTGGCAATTATTCCGGTTGGATTAACAAAAATGATCCAGCCGCTTAATTTATCTGTTAAATCTTTTAACTCTAAGTTGCGTTTCAGATGGGAGAAGCCGATAATGATTGGAAATAGAGACTATAGTATATCAGAAAAGATTAAGATGGTGTCATATGAAGAAATGTGCAGGTGGATCGTTGAAAGTTGGCCAGTAGTTACGGAGTCTTATATAAACGGGTTGTTATAAGCATTAGGCGATGTACTAAATACGACAACGCCAAAAATAGATGACGAAGGATTAATTTCAGAAAACGAACTGAGTGATGATATACCTGAAGAAACTGTAAATGTTCTTGCTTATTATATTGATTCAAATGAAGAGTTTTATGGTCTTCAGTGACTTGACTGTAATACGCTGGTACTCTAAATGTTATTTGACGTTTTATCTTTTATTTTATCTTATTTTTTATACTAACCTTTATATTCATTGCAACTGCAACATGTACATGGTTTCAGACTAATTTATTTTCACAATATACGCAGTTTGAAATTACCGCGTACGTAAGTAACTCGAAATAATTTGGAATTTTTCGTTTTTCATTGCATAACGCGCAACGCTGTTTTCTACTTTGGACTTTTTTTTGTATAGATAACGCGCGCGTTATTGATGGGAAAATACAGTAGTTTACCATCTCACCGAAACTGACAAAACAAGTGGTTCAGTTCAGTTTGTAGCATACTGTGGCATACTTTAATAGGAACCAGATGGTAAGTGTCCATAAAGAAACACCCTGTTGTCAATAACATAAGGACATCCGATCAAAGAATAATCTTCCAAAGATGAGGAAGGCATACTAATTCTTTTAAATTTGTGATTCAATTCAACACTGCACCAATGATAAATCAGCTACC